TATAATATGTAAAAATGTTCATCGCATACATGTAACAGCCACTCTTAGCATAAATATTTAAACAGCTAACTAGAAAATAAAAGTACAATTTCCGATATCTATAATAAAAGATTACAGAAATATACGATAAATCCCGAACGATGTTATTCGTGCATGAAATATATAACGCAGCCAGATATATATAAATCCGAATATAATTAAAAACAAAAATACCAAAATAAATAAAAAGTATAACGGATGGAAATCCAAAAATTAAAAACCCACCACATTATGCCACCAGGGATGAACAAATCTACCGGTCTACGCAGTTTTTCCCTTCGCGAAGGAACTAACATCGGTAATTGACAGCTCCGAAATTAAATGAACAAACCACTTTATCGCTCAAGCTCCCCGATACTGCGCACTCCGGGCACTCCGAGAGCACCGGCGTAAAAACGGGGCATATTCCGTCGCATTATACCGGTATTTGTAACCGAGTACACCACGACGAGCGTGCATGTAATGTATACATTACCCGAAGCCGATTCCGCCGGTGGCGCATGTACGCGTACCCTGTCGCGACGCTCGTACACGCACGTGTTCATGCGTGTGTGTGCAACGTCGCGACGGGGTGCGCCGTGCCGCGCGTTATGTTGCGCCCGGGGGCACGATAATTCAGCAGAAAAACCGCGAAACATTTGTCCGGCCGCCATTAATTCCGAAACTGCCCCGACGTTTCTGGCGAATCTGCATAAAACCGTAACGTACCACTCGATAATTCGACCGATACGCCCACGCCCGACCCTTCACCCGCCCTCGCGTCCCCCGGCCGTCGCTCTTCCGCCCTTTTCCAGTCCCCCTTTCTCCCTTTCTCACCCTCCCCCCTGTCTCTGTGCCGCCAGGTGGTTCGGATCGTGTTTTATCTGCCGTTTTTTCCGCGCTCTGCACTTTCCGCAATTCCCTACAAATCCGCTCGATGTCACCGGCATGCGAGGGAGGAAGCGGACCCTTTGCGATCGTGTTACACGATACGGCGCAGCCAATAGCACTCTCGCCTGCTTCCGGCCAAACTATAATACACTCTATCTGCGCACGATCAACTTTCATTTCTCTCCCTCTCTCATCTCTCTCTCTCTCTCTCCTCCCCCGACCCTTTCACTTTCTTTCTCTCTCTCTTTTTTGTTACCTTTGCAACTGCACGCTCTCCTCGTTTCACGCGTTTCGGTTTTAATCTGCCACGAAGTAATTTCGTCCACTTGAAACGTACGGATACTCGTGTGTAGATACCGATGCGTTAGTTAGGAAATGTGCCGCGACAATTGTGGTTTAACTCGCATCTTTCGGAAAAAGCTTAGCGTGAATTAAATGTATCTCAAGTTGCAACACGGAGATCTACAGATATCGGGCGCAAGGGGTGAACTCCTGTGTCGAACAGCGCGCGAATGTTTCCGCGGCTGACTTGTGGCGGCCGTTACTACTTAAACTCTTATCGCCACGCAAGTCGACGTGCGAAAGAACACGATCGCGAGTTGATAAAATTTCAAACGGGAACACTGTGGTTTATAGAAGTATTTCGAAAACATTCCGTCGACTACTGGCTGCAGTCGCCACACCACGGGCGTCTGTAATTAATTTTTCAAAGACATTACGGTAAAATCGCGAATGTGCGAGGGCGATGTTTGCGAGCGGCCGGCAAAAGGAAAAAGTTGTCGCGCGTTCGTTTGCTTTAACGCCCGTTGCTTTCTAATTAAACCGACCACCGAAAACGAGAAATTGCAAGCGAGCACTTTTTTTTCCGAGGCCGACGCGCATGGTCGGTTGGCCGCCAGAAGTCGGCAGTCGACAGGAGAGAAAGAAAAAAAGAGGGGGAGAGAGAGAGAGAGAAAGAGAGATTGAGCCGCGGCTAATTAATTCTGATTGCATTAATTGAAGGGTCGCGCGGAAATCGTTCGACTCGGTTTTCAGCGAACTTTTAGAAAATTAAATAAAATTTCTAAAAGGCCGATACGACACTCCAACTTTTGCTAAAATAAAAACGTAAAAGCAATCATTTTTATAATATTTCGTGAGCACATTTTATAAATTGCAGTTTTTGTTCCTTCATTGACTTGTGTAAAAATTGCAAATCTCTCACGTATGCAAATGTGTTCGAGAAACGTCCTCAAGCGTAATCTGTAATACCTAATCTTTCGCGATTCTGATTTATTAGAGAGAAATCAGGCAATAAATAGTATTACCAGTTACAAAATTCGTTAAATGGTCTGAGCTCGCAACACCTGGCACTTACACGTGCTTCTTGCGGGATGCAATTTTGCGGGACCATTGAAGATCGACGATCCCGCAAATAATAATTACAGCAGAGACACAAAGCGGCTCTCGAGAGCCTCGCGGTGTACCTCTTGCGATCCAATCCCACGTCATCCCCTTAAAATCCCTTTGTCGACCCCGATAATCCCACGTCGGACATGGCTGAGGCGGCATCTCGTCCGTACTCAGCTTTCTCTTTTTCCAAAATTCTATTACCACCTTCGTGTGCTCGCGCGCGTAGATTTTATAATCTCTTTTCACGTCGCGCCAGGGAACGAGAGAGAAAGGGAGAGACATCCTTGACTTTCTGGATTACGGAGAATAATATCTAGAAGAAAACACCCTCTACAGTCGAGACGCATTTTACTGCAAGGTGTGCCCTGATTATTTACGTCGTTACCTCGTTTTTTATCTCCTAAATAAATAAGAGTCTGCCCGGCTTTCGTGAAACGTAAGTAAATACAAAATGTTATTTAGAATTAAAATTTAGTGCATTTTTTTATTTAGTACACGTGCGTGATACGGTAAGAGAAAAGATTACGATCCCTTTGAGAGAGAGAACGGAAGAAAAAGGGAAATTAAAACATCTTCTATTATCTCTCTAAGCGGATTACGAAACTATTGAAAAAAAAGAGAAGAAATGGATAGTCTCTCTCTCGCTTCTAGAACAATGGTTCAATTGTCGCAGAAATTACACGCGCAGAACTTGACGGCTTTTTTGCATTCAGCGCCGGGACAATCCCTTCGTCTACTTTTTATTCTCTTCATTCTGTTATCGAGACACGTTATTTCCGTATCAGCTAATATATTCACCGAAGCGACGTATATATCAATCGCTAATAATAAATACAGGTAGATCGTCTCGATCGCGCGAGATTTTGTGCGCAGAACCGAGTAGCAACAAGCAAAGATCGGCCAGTGGACGACGTTAATTCGTGCCGGCCGTATATATTTCCTCCTGCCATTCTTCTCCCGTCCACGCGGCCGTTCGCTGACGTAGATTGAAAAAGCAGCCCCATTATAAATAATTTAAATGCATTGCTGGGGAGCAAAAAGCGGATGGCAACTCGGCGACGACGTCGGCGACGGCAAAATTGATACGACGCGCGCTCGACTTTTCTCGCGGCGCGAACGCCGCGCGCCGTGGTCAATACATTCCCGGCCACGAGTGCGTGTATACGCGCGGATTTCATATATATTTATTTATTTATTTGCGGGCTCGCTTCTCTCCATCAGCTTGTCGTTCCTCCGCCATGTAAATCCGTCCCGGAGACGGAGGCACCCGCGAGAGTCTCGATTTCTCTTATCCGCTACCTACAAAGATTACCGTATCAACGTGGAATCGTTAAAAATATACTTCGCCTCCCTCTTCTTTAATCCGAGCAAGCTCCGAGCGAGTTCGAAGAGGAGAGCCGACGGGCGAAAGACGACGACGGTCCGAGGGTTCGTCGCGAATCCCGTGGGACTTGCCGCAGACGAGCGTGTCGTGATTTCGCGGCGGACCGCTCCGCGAAAGAAGTTTATCGCGGGCTCCATCGGCGAGGCCGCGATATGGAAACGGAGAACAGGAGGGTGGACGAGAAGGTAAGGCAAGGGAAAAGAACGCGGTGACGGTAGGAGAGTAACGGTACGAGAGTACACGTATCGTCGATCTGGCGCATGAAAAGAAATCCCTCTTTCCGCAATTCCACCGGGTTTCCCCGGCAGAATCCTAATCTCCCGGCGCGCGCGATGCGGACGTAACGGACGCCGCTGCCGCTTTCCACCCTCGGCTCCTCCGCAGTCCGTTTCCGTGCTCCTTTCTTCGGCCAGTGCCACGAAGGCGGTCGCGATCGAATAGGACGGGTACAGTTGGTCCCGGCATCGGGATCTCCGGGATTACTATCCCGGAGCCTAATCAGCCAGATTGCCCGCAATTTGCCGTCCTTATCTCGACGGTACCTCCGCGAGTCCTTCGCGGTCTCTCTTTCTAGTTCCAGATGGACTCCCTCGTCCTTCCCCACGCATGAAAGACCAACCCCCCCCCCCCTTTCCCCCCTCCCGGTCATCGGCGAACGGTCGTTTCGCGGAAGAATACTTCTTCCCCTGCTGGACCTCAACTTACAGGGCGCGCGGGAATCTGACGAATTACACGGGACTTAGGCGAATCGGTACTTTTCCTATCGCGAGGTCGAAAGAAGATGAGTTTGCCGCACGGCGTCGGAAATTGCCGACCTTGGTGCTATTTCTTGCGTAAACAGGCAGATTTAGCGCAACAGTTTCAAATTTTCTCGATGTCGACCGACGTAATGCGGCGGTATTGTTGAAACGTTGCTGGTAATTGCAACCGACGCTGCAGATAAACACGCGTGCATCAAGATTCTTTTAGAATTATCAGAGCCAAATGAAAACGGCAATCCTTTTCTTCATTAATCACAAGTCGCGTACAGAAACTCGCGAACAACAAGGTACCGCGGCGATAAATACAATGCTAAAGTGGATCGAATTTACGGTCCAAGTTAATTTGTTCGCCGATAATTGTTGCCGCTTGTAGATCGTCAATAACATAACGAAACTTGCAAAATTCGAAAGCGCGGACCACGGATCGTTAATGTTCGATTACGGCGCGCAGTTGCGCGGAAACTCTAGAGCACTCTCGTCAACACGGCGAACAATTGGTAATCGAGAACTGGCGCATGCGGTAATAACTGTATATTGTTAGATGTAACACTCACCCGCGTTATTACTGGCGAAATTTAGATCCTTACCTGAAACAAAAGACATAGATGTTATTATTACGTGTATCAACGAACAACAATTTCGTGATATGGATATCGATGTCGGGATACGCAAGCTGTGCTAGAAACGTTCCCAAATTATATTAAAATGTAAAATTCGTAAAATGTCGAAGGACACAAATAGATGAAAACTTTGGAGAATAGTTCCACAAAATTCTTTGTGTTATAAGAAGTACCCGAGGGGTAAACCGCCAAGGGCGTGTGGTGTACAGATTTGCGGCATTACTGGGCATTACTAGGCATTACTAGGCATTTTTGGGCATTAGTTTGGACATCAGGCCTTGCTGAGGGATTATAAAAACATAATAAGATAAAATAATGTCCACTAGGTATTAGTGGGCATTGGTGTACAAGATTTTGGTCAGTGGTTTCCCCCTCGGAAGTATTATAAGATTTCTTCCAAGAAATAGTATTATTAATATTATTAGTAGTCCTATATTAGATAAAAATATTTAAGATTAGATATCGCAGCCTATTTTGAGGTAAATTTTACGGTAATTCGAAATAGCTTAATTCAACTCGGAGAGATATCAGATATAACTTGGGCATCGAAAGATTCGTACTTAAAGAGTAACATTGTTATTATCGAGATTGACGTCACTGACGCGATAGCGCATTTAAAAGGAGCGTGCCGCGAATAGCCCTATTTATTTTTCACCGGGGTGATGCCCGATTTTATGCGGCTTTAAACCGATTTAGCGCTTTCCTTTGTTATACTTCGAAACCAAGCCTCGGCAACCGAGATGTTAGAATTTAGTTAGACACGCGATCCTTCGTGTTGCGCGCATATTATTTCGCATAAACCACTAATCCACGCGCAAGTAATACCCAAATACATTGCGTACTGCAAATACACGGAATGTTTGCAGTTATATATGATCCTCTGGAAATGCAGGATCAAAGGATAGTATAAATAAGATACCGGAAATAAGAGAACATGAGCGAAAGGCCTTGGGCGTGCGTCTCTCCGTATAGAGATATACATGAATATTTTGATTCGCGATTCACAAAATGCAAAATTGATACGTAGCTGATCTCGTAAAAACAGATGCGAAGTAGCAATTCACGTACTTCGCTTGGAAAGGTATTAATTAACATCTCGAAATATTTTGCGCTGTAAAGCTCTGAATGGCATACTTAACGTATTGCTGTTGTAAATATAGACATTATTATAGAAACAATACGCATAGCCATTGGAAATGTCACAAATTAAAATACGACTAGCGCGTGGCTGGCCGTAAAATCCCGAGAAAGGCAGCTCAATGCAATATTTACATGGTAATGGATCTTGGGAATTTCGCGACGTTTTTCCTTCTCGCGATAAGGGATGCACCGTCGTCTGCAGCAGCTCGTATGGTCTGAGATTCGTAGATCTTCGCAGTGGCACTCAACTTCCGCTCGTACGGCCCCTCGAGTCGGTGAAACGCACCGGAAGTCGTTGACCGCGAAATATATATTAAATCCGGTTGTTTTATTCATGCGAGGAAAGGCGGAACTCTCGTGGGAGCGGAGTTTTTGATAGCGATTCCCCTTTATAGACGCTTCCGAAGGAAAAATGTCGGGCGGATCAGCACTGGGATAGAAAATCCGGACGACGGGGAAGGAGAATTCGCTAGACGATGACGACGAAAAGTATCTAGCAACGTGGCCGATAGTGGCCGCTGCTCCGAGAAAGTATCGCCGTCGGGGCTCTTTCCCTGCACGCGAAATCGCGGGTCATCGACGGAATAGCTACTGTTTACTGTTCACTCGCGTTGTCTGCCGGGAGAAATAGCGAACAAGGAAAGAGAAATTACATTTATCTATCTATACGATGCTGCGCCTCGCTCGCTCGAAAGAGTAGCAAAAATAGACTATAGCGAACATATACACTTGGAGAGAGATACACTGGAACGCGATGTACATTTGGCCTCGCTTCTTCCTCGTGTAACGTAAAATTTTCTTAATGTTACATTCACAGTTTTGTGAGTGTGTTACGTTCGATTTTGCTCCGAAAAATTAATACTCCTGTACTCCTTTCTCTTAGATTTGAGCCGTCCGTTTATATAATTATTTAGAACCACGTTTTGTGTATTCTCTTCTCGCATCACTTGACAAATTTACGTTCATCAAGATAGATTAGTCCCGATCCGTGCGTCGATCCACCTTTATCAAGAATGGACGTGTAATGCGGGGGCAAGGCATTTGAGCGAGTGATCGATAGCGCCGGTGAGAAAAATAAAAGATGGTCACCGCTTCTCTGTCTCCGATCGAAACGATCCTCGGAGGACACCGACAAAGAGCGCTTCGGCCATCACGAAGATTACCGCTACGATCCGTGCTGGAACGGTAGCAGCCGGGACGAGGCTGATTTATTTGTTGTCTAACGTCCGGACGAGTCCTTCTACATTATTTACCTCCCCGTCGGGGCGGCGAACGCGCGGCGCACAAAAGGGTGGATTCCACATTCGATCGTGGGATCAATGGATCTTGTCGACGAGAGATTTACTGCGGCGGTCCTCCCGTCGCGACGTTGGGGTCACTGTGAAGACACCTTTATCCGCGCGACGATCCACCCATCAGCCACCTCTTTGTCATCCAGATCGAGAAGCGCAGGGGCGCGTGTACGAAACAGACAGGAAAAAATGCAAATTGCGGGAGGGGATACAGCCGCGTCTTGTGGCCTGAAGGGGAAAAATCGCGTTAAGCGCCGCCGACATTTTTCATGCTGACGGGTCCGGCGAGGGTGAAACAAAAATATCTTCCGGTATTCGAGCAAAAGACCGCAAGCTGAAAAAGGAAGATAAGACCCGTGCTAATCTTTAAGTGAGATCTCGCAAAGTAGTGTCACGCGCATTTCCTTCGAGTCTCTTTACACACGTCCGATCTGTGAATAAAGGACCCTGAGAAATAATGCAGGGGAGCACGTGTATCAGTCGTCTCATCGCGATAAATCTTCGCGTTTCTTAAATAATCAAACGTTCACGTGGCACTTAATCACGCGTTGAGAGAGAAACGATTCGAAAATGCGCAGAAAATGCGCTAACGGTTGGCAAGTGTGTGATAAAAAATGGAGAAACGTTAAAAGTAGTGCGAGAAAGGCATGGAATTAAATAGAGAGAAGGCGGTTGAAGGAGAGAGTGGGAGTGGCGTAAACAGCACTTTGTATCGACGCGTTCCGCGTACTTTTCTTTTCACCCCAGGCTGTAACCCTCTCGACGAGACTTAAGTCCACTCTCAGACTTCCCTCTCTGTCGGCTTTTTTTTCTCCCTCTTTATCTCGGCCGCTTTCGATCAGCCTGAATCTGCCACTTAGCGCGATCGTCCCTCTAGCGGCGGGGGGGGGCGCTAACCCTTCGAGGACGAATGGATGGATTCTCCGTTGAAGCAGTAAGTAAAAGCAAGCCCGGGTTTTAGCGACGGAAGAAAACTGGTGACTGCCGAGAGGAAAGGGGAGAGGGCGGGGGTGAGCTCGACAATACGAAAAAGAGCCAATTTCAAAAGTGGTCGCTACTGGAAGCAGGGGCGAGAGGCCTAACGAGAATTGCAATCGTGCGTAGCATCCTATTACCGTGCTTGCGATAAAACAACAGGCAAAATGGGGTAGCAACTTTGTAAGAGGAATTTAAATAACACGCAATTATTTTCAATTAACGGAGATAAAACGTTGAATTCACAACTCCGGGGAATGTTCGTTTATAGATAAAATATAAAATTAATGTAAACAATAACAAGGTAAATATACGTGCTTCGATGTAAATCGAGAAACTATGTTGCCGATTTATTTCATCTCAGTAAACTACTCTGTACTAATTATTTACGTCGGTGAGTATTTCTCTGGTGTTCTTTGATACTATTTATTTTCCGAAGCTCGCGTTCTAATCACACGAACACCAGCCGTATCCCACTTGTAACTTTTCTCTTAGCTCGTCCCGCGCTACGGCAAGACGGTAACAAAGGGAGACCGCAGTTGTGTCTCTTCGTAACTCTGGGAAATATATTTATCAGGTTTTTGCTCTCGGATTTTCGCGCGGCATCCGATATCTGGGGCTCGCCCGTGACCAAATCCGCGCGCTTCCACGACGCGCGCGAATGTACTATGCATAAAGGAATCGCTGTAATATCAACCGTGGCAGCACCATGAAAAATTGAGTGCCTTCGACGTCCATTGTTCCCGGGATTGAGAGAACCTTGGATTTTACTTCTCTCCGGCAATCGAATTTTAATCCCTCTGCAGAAACCGAGAAGGCACACAGTCCGCAGAGACAGAGAATACAAAATCACACCCAAGATATCTCTCTCGAATTCTCAATCTTTGATGCATTTCTGCCGATACAACGAAACAAGTATTTCGCGAAGCCGTTCATCATTTCATACAGTGGTATACGACGTAAACATATGAAAGATTGAAAATCTCTTTTTTTTAAAAAGTATTTTTTCTATTTTGTATTCTCGTCTTCCCTTTCGCATAGCAATGTGCACGCGTTTTACGCATAGGTATGCCAATTTTTCATGCAATCCGACTCTAAATATTAAGGGGATTTACTCGCGAAAAACTCATTTCTATTTTTTTGACATTTTTTTAAAGCACTCTTTTCAAGTTTCTTTATATTTTAGATATTAAAAATATGTTATTAAAATATTTACGGAGTTTATAAGTTAAGAATTTAATAGCGAAGCGCGGGAACTATCTAATGTAATGCGGGAACCAAAATGAAAATATATAATGTGAACAAAATAAAAAGTAAAGAATTCTATAAAGTAAAATATGAGAAAGAATATTTAAACTTCGAAGCATACTAATATTTAAATACAAATATAAAAATATTTGTCAAAACATTAAAACGTAAAAGTTAACCGAAATTTTTTCCGAAACCACATTTTTTAAATTAGTGTCCACTGTAAAGTGATTATCTCATCTTTACGCTCTACCAAGATCAGACGTTCATTCATTTCTATCTATTGATGTTTTACATCGATATATCATTAGT